TGTGTACAGTCTACTTACCTGTACTTTATCTAGTGTGTCGGTTTGACGGTTACATTACCTGATTTTATCTAGTGTGTCTGGTTTGGACGGTTACATTACCTGATTTTATCTAGTGTGACTAGTTTGGACGGTTACTTTAAATGATTTTATCTAGTGTGTCTGGTTTGGACGGTTACTTTACCTGATTTTATCTAGTGTGTCTGGTTTGGACGGTTACTTTAAATGATTTTATCTAGTGTGTCTGGTTCGGACGGTTACTTTTCCAGATTTTATCTAGTGTGTCTGGTTTGGACGGTTACTTTAAATGATTTTATGGTGAAATATGCTTGTTTCTGTTACCATAATGGTTAATATTACCAGGTCGAATAATTCATATAAAAATAGCAGAATTGCGTTTAATCGACTTCCATTTGCAATATTTTTTATCACTAATGTCTTTATAATTAGTTTTCTGGATATTATAATCATTTTTGTTTCGAACATCTCAATGAAACTTTCAGAAAGAAGTGTATATGAGAAGTATTAACAATTCGTTAGTTTCAAGTAGAAAACATATGCAAAATATTGCATTATTTAATATGGAACGGTTTTCTGATTACTTATTCAATATTTGTTACACTAATAACTAACATTTGAATTTATAGCTTCGTAATTAGACACTAAGGGATTAGTTTAGTGATTTGTTCTCGATATGGTAAAATTCTATTAAAAGTATTTTCAAATTTACATTAAAATAGTTTTTGTGAATAAAAGCTGGTTAGGTTAAGTCAAATTAGGTGACAAAAATGGTGAACAGTTACAGCTCTCTTGCTGATGGCGAACTTACAACGCTAAAATCCGGGTTTCGATACCCGTGGTGGACAGAGCACAGATAGCCCATTGTGTAGCTTTGTGCTTAATTACAAACAAACAAACTTCTTTCAGGATATTCAATCTTACTTTTCACTGAAATAACCAAAATTATCGTGTGCTTGCGGCAACAAATACACATCCTAAATAAGAGCAAGGTATTTATTTAATCAAACATTTCTGATATCGACATATTAATGATATTCAAGTCACAGATAAATTAATAAATAAGAAAATATCTTTACGAGTTAATTTTAGAAAGAAGCCAATGAAAACAGAAAAAAAAAATTACGTATTGAAACTTTGCGTTTCCTTTTAGCGGATGTGTCTTGTGTTGGAGTTTGAAATTTCTTTGTTAAATATACGAGAGGAAGCTTGATAAACTAATTAAACTCCGGAAAGAATAGTACTTTGACATTAAGAGTATATTTAAAGTTATCATAATATCATCAAAGGCATATCCTTTTCCCGATAATCATGCGGAACAAAATTCATCAGTTTCAAGTTCCTTTAATGTGTTTGTTTGTTTGGATTTGCGTGAAATGTTAAACAAAGAAGTGTATGCGTTGTATTCAATGCGGGTATCGCAACCTGACTTTTAGCGTTATAAGCCTCAAGTTTATCTACTGCAAAAGTATTTTAAAGGAGAATGATCAGAGTTCTTATAACCATAGTTAAGATGGAGGCCATTATATTGGACCTAACGGTTATCCAGTGTAGAGTCTTTCAAATGTGTAAAAGGACTGGGTGTGACCTAGCAGTTAACCTAAGAGTCAGTCCTTTGTTTGTGACTAGTTAATGAAAAAACGCGCTCTGCACTATAGGGGTGTTATAAGATTGACGGTGAAATCCTACTCTTCGATTAGGACAGCCTAAGTTGGCAGTGGTTGATGTTGACTAGCTGCCTTTTCTATAGCGTATCAGTTAAATTTGTGGCGGCTAGTGCCAAGAAAACAGCAACCTTGCTTGTGTAGCTTTGCGAAAATATCAGAGATACACAAAGAAAAATAGAATATTAGCTTAGAAATACGTTGTTCGTTGATTATCAAATGATTCCCTGTTTTATAGACTGACTTTAGGGTACAGAGTTTGGATTGTGTAAAAGCTACGGCCATCATGCGATGAACAAGATTTTAAAGAAGTGTAAATTCTGATAACGCATTTCTTACATGCTACCAGTTCAATACATTGAAAGAGTTTTTTTATGCGGCAGTGCACATATCCAGCTAGTTAAACTATATCTAAACCAATTGAACACGAAGTTATTATGCATGCAATTTTATGTACTTGAAGATATTTTACGTATAGGGTTTTATTTATTGTTACATTTGATTTTTTACGTGATCGTTATTGCTCAAGCCACATTTTAGTATGATACACGTGCTTTTTATGTAATGACGATTACGACAGAATAACAATCATTAAGAAATTCTCAGAACCGAGGGATTCAAAAGAGAATTAGTTATAATATGTCAATTACGTCTGTCATATCCACTGCCGACGAGACCTTTCGTACAATACCAGAAGTTACTAGAACAGTTGGGATTTGGTACACGTAAGAGCTGAGCTGCAGTTGTTATATATATATCATCAATTGTGGTGTGAACCAGATTAAGGAAATAAATTGTAATTATTATCAGTTTTATTTAAGTCATTTAGAAATCAAATGTTTATAGCAAAAATTAATAACACAACATTATTTTAATGTAACATCAATTACTCATTTATAAGTAATCTTATCTTTTAATTAACTTTACTATCATTCAAAACAATCGGCGAACCAGTAAACCAGTTTTCTATTGTGAATAGATACAATAACATATAGTAGCTGGTTGCATTTCAAATGTGCTATGATATTTAAGGTAAAATCGGGGAGAACAGCTGCTTAAACACACAGAAAGGAGAAAATAAAACATGTCTGGGGATCTGAGCAGCTTAGTACGAATCGCGTGCGTTAACCACGTATCAAAATCTCCTAACTCTAATGTATAAGACCAAAAGTAACCTCAATATAAATCTTAAGAACACGTTCACCACTTCTTCCAGGTTAATCTTTTTTTATTGACTTTTAGAGACGAAATCACAAAATCGATCCACCCATTCCCACACATATAATTCCAAATACAATAAAAGTCTTATTCTCCACTGTTTCTCGTTAGTGACCTACGAAGGATTACGAATCTTAAAGCAGTCTAAGTGCTTTTATGTATGAAGATTGAATTTAGCACAGTATGTATTTGTTCATATTCGTTATTATTTTACACAGTGTTTGAAAAAAAAACCTAGTGGTCAAGTTTTGTACTATAGAAATCACTCGGTGTTCTTATTTTCTATATAATTATATGTGCACTAAATACATGACAGGTTTGCAGTCAGAGGTGTTTTACCCTAGTGAAAACTTGGAATACTGGTACCCAGCATTAAATATAACCTATACAGACTGTGTACTAACGTCTCTGCAGAATTCAATTACGTTAGCAATTTTCAGTTAAGTGAAAACACAAGAATTCTATTTAAATCAAACAATAACATATTTCAAAACAAACATACAACACAACTTAAATCTCCGTTTTATTGTTTGTTAATTTAAGCCTCGCACATTCGATAAGGATTTCGAAAGAATTATGTCAAATTATAACTAAGACTTGTTTAAATAGAGATGATTTATAATCTGCTGTTTCATTCATTATTTACCAGCAGAGACCCGCAAAACATTTCCGGCCAAATTAGTATCTTTATCGTAACAGTACTTTTCTTTAAATATAACATTTCTAGCACAATACAAACGAATTGTAATCGCAG